CGGATAGGTTTGTAGTGTAGGTTCAGAGGGCGCTGCTTCGGATAGGTTTGTAATTTAGGTTCAGAGGGTGTTGCTTCGGATAGGTTTGTAGTGTAGGTTCAGAGGGCGCTGCTTCGGATAGGTTTGTAGTGTAGATTCAGAAAGCGTTGCTTCAGATAGGTTTGTAGTGTAGGTTCAGAGGGCGTTGCTTCGGATAGGTTTGTAGTGTAGGTTAAGAGGGCGTTGCTTCGGATAGGTTTGTAGTGTAGGTTCAGAGGGCGTTGCTTCGGATAGGTTTGTAGTGTAGGTTCAAAGGGCGTTTTCGTCTTGTTGTGCAAGTTTCTTCACAGAAAACAATAAATAACACGACTTCTGAAGGTCGTGTTATGGACACCAAGGTACTACAGTTTCTCTTCAGAAAGGATTTTTATATATTCTTTGTTAGATTGTTTAGGCAGAGTATTCATGATGAAATTTACTTGAATGGACGACAACTGCCTGTTATACAAACACAAGTTAGAGGACGACGTTGCGAAAGCCTTCCGCCTTTTGGAATGTTGTTAAATAGGCTGTGTCGTCAAAAAATGAACAGATCATGGGCTCTGATGTGTAGCTTTCTGAGTTGTTCTACGAAATTTATCGAGTTTTGAATGTGATGTTCAGTATTCCCTCGTAGGGGAGTTTATAGCACTGACGATACGCCTTAAAGGCAGGTTAGGTTGTTGTACCTTAGGTAGACTATAGAACTGAGGGGGGAGAATTGTCGTTGGTTCTTAAGTCTTTGTTGATTAAGTTTTGTTTCTTAAGTTGGTCCAGTGTTCTATTGATGAGTCTCTTTGTCTTTTCTGTAAGGTCATTGGTGATCTTTTTGTATTGGTGTTTGTCTAGTAACTGCTTGATCTTCGAGCCATAATCTTTGACGTCTAAGATGACTTTACTGTTTCCTTTGTCTGCTGGTACAATCTTGATAGTGTCATCCCGTCTTGGATGGTTCAGTGCATTGTATTCCTGTTTGGTGATGTTAGGTTTTGGTTTCTTGGCATTCCTGAGGGTGGTGTAAGTTTGATGTCAAAATAGGTTTCGGTAGGTTTTGTGCAGCAGATTCTAAGGTTGCAGCTACGTCAACGGTTGAAACTGTGCTAGGTTGTGTGTCGAAGTTTAGACAAAGGTTAATAATATTGTTTTCTATATAACTTAATAGTGTCGAGTACAAATAGTTCAAATACAGTATGATTATCTTTCTATACAAGGACCAACCCTGTATTTTATTCTCGTCTCAATCATTTGTTTCTATAATTATATTAATCTAAAGCAAGCAGAAAGATTTTAGAAGATTTCTAAATAATTAAGTAGAGTTGATCCACACTTGCAGCCTTGTTCACTGTAAAGATGCTATGTTGTTTAGCCTATCACATGTTTAATGGAAGTTACTCCTCTCCCATTTCGTACCTCTTTATAAACACATGGGAGTTAATACTCTACCAGTTTATAAACACATGGAAGTTAATACTCTACCACTTTTGTTTATAAAGTGGTAGAGTATTAACTTCCATGTGTTTATAAAGTGGTAGAGTATTAACTTCCATGTGTTTATAAAGTGGTAGAGTATTAACTTCCATGTGTTTACAAAGTGGTAGAGTATTAACTTCCATGTGTTTACATGGAAATTAATACTCTACCACTTTATAAACACATGGAAGTTAATACTCTACCACTTTATAAACACATAGAAATTAATCCCCTTCCAGTTTATAAACACATGAAAGTTAATCCTCTCCCGGTTTCTACGTCTTTATAAATACATGAAAGTTAATCGTCTACCGGTTTCTACGTCTTTATAAACACATGAAAGTTAATTCTCTACTGGTTTCTGCATCTATATAAACACATGGAAGTTAATCCTCTACCGGTTTCTACCTCTATATAAACACATGGAAGTTAATCCTCTACCGGTTTCTACCTCTATATAAACACATTGAAGTTAATCTTCTA